GGACCATTCGGGACAGTGCCCGGTCCAATACCGAGAGAATATTGACCGGTAATAGAGCATTTTGATTGGTTGATTTTAGTTACTGGCCTCTGACTGCCTGAGTCGTGTAATAATACCGGATTATTACTAATTCAAAACATGATATAATAATAAATTATGATATTTACGAGTTTTTCTAGGTCTGTTAGAACCAATCTGAGGCAGTCTCACAGATGAAATCTAGAGCAGAACGCTATAACAAGATAGGGACCTGGACACTACATATGATTTGTGCAATAGGGGCCCGGTGCAAGCCATTCGTACCACATTGTTCTTGTTACATGTTCTTGTCATTCTGTAGCGAGAATGCTCATCTCTATTAAATGAACGTCTCGGTGAAATGGATAAATTCCTATCTATGACGAGAAAATGTAACAAGAACAACGTGGTATGAACGGCTCGCACTGGGCCCCTATCACACAAATCATATGTAGCGTCCAGGTTCATATTTTGTTATAGCGTTCCGCTCTAAAATCCAGATCAAACTGAAAAAGATAAACAACCCTTTTGCTCACAAAATGGTGTGTTTCAAACATTGTAGAGCATTGACCCTTAAACTCACAAAATCTGATTACAAGTTAATGCTCCCTTCTAGCTGCAACACATTTCCTGGTACATTAGTTATGAGAATTTGGTGTTAGATCAAGTAAACAACTTCTACCTGATAACTATGACTATTCTCATTACCTGTTTGCTGGATATTGTAGGGATATTGTGGGGAAAGAGAGAGAGAGAGGGAGACTTTATTTCAAGAGGGTAGCATGTGACAGTAGTTAAACTAATAATCCTGTGGCCCTCTATCAACCCACCTATCCCACCCCAGAAGAGGACGTCCATCACACAGTAATCTTGTGTGGGAAATTAACATCTCCTTCCCCAACCCTGAAGGAGACGAGACCTCCATTTATTCGTCCCTATCCGAGAAGACTAGAATATCTAACCATTTTTTGATGTTATAGAAAGGTTAGCATATTCTTCTCAATAATTTTAAGACCTTGAGTTTTGGTCCGGCCGGGGCTTTAACCCTCGACCTCCCGGACAACAGTCCAGCGCTCTCAAAGTCTTAATCATATGTCACCTTATCGCAAAAATCAACCGGAAATCAATTAAAGTTTAACAGTCTTTGACACTTCCCTATTTTTTCGATCATTGCGAATCACAAGAATAAAAAAATTACCCCTACCGAATTTTTTTGTAGAGCTGAGAGGCTCCTTTCTAACTCCTGTACCTCCTTTTCAAGCTCTGAGGTATCTGGCAGAATAAACAGGTAATTCAATACAAGTAAATGAAAAAGAATAAAGGAATAAAAAGATATGGATTCTATGCAGAGGAATCTGCTTCCTACCACAATAAGATCTATTTCCAGTTTAGATATTTTTAAAATTAGACTTAAAACTTTTTTATTTAATAGGGCGTTTAATTAGTTCCACTTTGTGATAGCAGCAAATTCTAAGCACCAGTCAAAAATATATATATATATATAATTATAACAAACTGGTTCAAGACTTCAGAGGTAGTTCATCATTTTATTATGACAGCTCTGTTTTGTATGGTCGAAAATGGCCACACTCATCAGGTAATTTCAACGATGAAATTACCAGATGAGTGTGGCCACTTTTGACCATACGAAACAGAGCTGTCGTAATAAAACGATGAACTACCTCTGAAGTCTTGAACCAGTTTGTTATAATTATCAATGCTCCTCTAAGAGTTGAACGCTCTTCGAAATACATTCAAATCAAGTTCAAGAATATATATATATATATATATGTTTGCCAGTGAGAAGAACTCCATTTTTAATATTAGAAGTGAAAGGGTTAAAAACACACACTTGTAGGACAAAAAATGACTGATGACTTGAAGTCAGGACTAGTGATAAACAAATCCATCACATGGTCAGAGACGCCCTTAATTAAGCCGAGGACCTCTTTATTATGATTGTGACACATGACACTTCAGCAAAGCTGTCATTTTATGAAATGGCTGATGTTGACACAAGCTTGGCAGAAATCTGTGATGACAATTGCAGCTATGATTTTGTGATGTTTTTCATTCCTTTTTTTAGATCTACAGCAGTTACATCCCAAATACTTCAGCTTAATTGTTCAGGCTTTTCGTTTCCAATTCTTGTTGATCTTTTTAATCCATAATGCCATTTTGCTTAGGATGTACACTTCTCATTTGATGATTTTTTTTTCCAGAAAACCAGAATTTTGGGCTTAGCAATAATTTTTTTATTGTCACAGAAAATGAGCCACAACACTCCTTTTAAATCTCAAAAGAGATTAACAAGTAACTTCTCCTTGTCATGAAAAAAACATTATCCAGCAGCAGGTGATGAGAATTTTTAAGGCCTATCAGTTACAGATGATTATCTTGATACAACACCAAATTCTTTTTTCTAGATTACAAAGGGATGAGAGACCTTCACAAGTTGGAGGGTTGAATACTCTTCTTCACTAATTTTTCTGACTGTTCCAATATCTAAGTTCTCAACACGAATTAAACATTAACATCTCAGGTAGCATTTTTTACCTTCTAAATACATTTAGTTTGTTTCCAAACCAGCTAAGTTGGTTAGAAGTTTTCATTTGTAGTGATAAAGTCTAAACAAAAGTACACAACTCACAGTTCCAATACAGGGTTGAAAAAAAAAAAAAAAAAGATTGGAGCAAAGAACTGACAAAATTTTGTCCTAGCTAGATGAAAAACACTTGACACGTATGAACTTCTGCAGCTCAGTGGTAAAGCTTCTGACGGGAAATTAAAAATGTCTGAGGTTCGCATAAAAAATAAATCACATTTTGGCATTTGAATGAAAAATGATAAATTATTCTTCAACATTCCACTTAACAAACAGACTCCATGCTGCTGTGTGTCTGCTTAGTAATAAATAGGTCACAGATGACGTAAAAATGTGGTAAGAACAAACAAGTGGCATGCAAGGCCCTGACCAGTGTGTCACTTATGTCCTTGCCACATTTTGACATTTTCTGTGATCTTTGCTAAACAAACCCACTGCAACATTGAACCTAATGGTTTTAATTAACAAAGAAACAAAATTTTGAAATGGTGACATCAGCTTTACATCTTTCCTCCAATAGATCATACATAAATAAGAGCCAATCAAAATACATTTTTCAGCTGATATAAATTTGCACGTTCTAGTATTTTTTTTTTTTTTTCGTTGAACATATTGAAAATGGGATGTTATCCTTAGTGGTTTGCGAAGAAATTTGCGCAAATGGGCCTTAATTGTCGATTTTAACAATGTAAACAAGTACATTTACTAAGGGACTATGACCCTACCTACTCAAATTGAAAATTCACTTCTCGTTTTGGTTGTTTATCGCGTGGTGTGTCTCCCAAACAAAACAAAATAAAAGTCAGCGACTTCAGAATATCAAGTGAAGGTGGGTCATTGGCCGTTCGCAAACGCTGTATTAAGTGTTGATTTTTGAGCGTTGGAGTTTATTTTCAATATTATTGGCAACTAATTCACAAAGTGGTTTGGATTTCTCGATACAAAATACAATAAATTTTGAAGTGGTAACGCAATATAGCTTCCCGTCTGCACGAAATCTTGGCGTCAAATGGTTAACATCAAAACTTTTTGGAAGACTAATTTTATGAAAAATATAAATAGTTTTGATTCCCTCCCGATCAGTTTTTTGCCCTAAACCTATTTGAATATGAAAAATGTAGATCTACGATGTGCTTTTGTCCTTTAACTGTGTCCCGGGATTATTTTATCATTTTCAAGACCTTCCTATTTGCATTTCGATAACAAACTGTCGACACGAGAAATTCCTTTTTCTGAGAGAGAGCGGGTACTCGCTTCAACAAGATTTATCACTTGAAGAGAAATTAAGATGGTTTTAATTTGATAACGTTCTGAACAAAATTGCTTTAAAATGGCAGCAAAGTATCAACTTTTTCTCGGATCCTAGTATTTGGAAATCGCATAAAAGCAAATGTCAACCTTTGTGTAGAAATTGCGATTGAGCACGTACAGGTATTACGTCGAAGGCAATGGCTAAGCGCGATGAATAAATTTTTCTCACCTTCTTTCTTCATGCCAGCCCGAAAACATTTTCTCAACCGACAGTAGCGACACTGATTTCGCTTGTCCTTGTTGATCACACAAGCTCTTTGAAAGCGACAGGCGTACACATGATTCTTTCTCACGCTCCGTCGGAAGAAACCTTTGCATCCATCACAACTCGACGCTCCATAGTGCTTCCCTGTAGCCTTGTCACCACAAATCAAGCAGGCCCCGTTGTCAGCATCGTCTGCAAGATAAGAGCAAGGCAGGAAACAGTTAAACAGCTCACCTGTGACTATTTTTGATATGCGTGATATCGATGTAACAAACACGATTTGCAAACGATCAGAGTTGTTTATTACCGCTTTTGCTCGAGCTCTCGGCCTGCTTCACACCATTTACAAGCTTGTCGGTCATTGACGACTACAAGAGTGGACTTTATCCCTAGAACACTGTGTTCCGAAATGGAACCCTCTACGTTATATTTATAGCCAGTAAAATTGTACTTTGAACTCGATGAGTCTCCGGTTGAGGTTGCAGAAGATACGAATACTCATGGCTGCCACGCATCGAAGTCAGCTTAATGGAGGGTGGTTCTTAGCGAGTCATGTGACCGCAATGCTAAGCACGAGATGTCGATTCGCCCCGATATCGACCGAGGTCAACTTGAAAACAAAGCAATTTTTTCGTTTCAGGAAAAAATAAAATTTTTCCTGCAGACCGCATATTTATTACCAGCAAATGTCTCACGCCATTTTGTCTGTGTTCACTGCGCGACAAGCCTCTAGCGTTAAGGGTAGGGGGTCTGTGAATATTTCTAGAGAAGACGACAAAAACCACAATAGAAGATGTGTGAAATAGTAAAGGTCATTCGAGGTCTCGGCTTCAAAACTAAGTGAAGAACATGTCAAAATCGTAATTGGTACTCTTCGTAAAATCAACAACAATTTTAGTTTCAGATTGGCAACTTCAATTCCAATTTCGGGAAAATTTCGTCAGAACGTACCTTGGTACATGTAGCCTGATTTCGAGTCCAATCACGAGTTTTCCTCTACCATGCTGCTGGGACAAGTAAACGCGTAAACGCCCATGTATGGTGCCCGCTTCGGTCGTTTAAGGTCAATTAAGGAAAAACATTTATGATCTAAGCCAGTAGATATCATATCCGTCATGTTTCTTTATTACTTTGGGGCAAGGACAGCTGTGACGAGACGAATTCATATACGGATTGTCTGTCAAACAAGCCGTTAGGCCGTTAACTATCTACAGGTTTCTCTCCAGCTGTGTCATAAACAAATCAAACACGAATGAAAATTTAAATATTTTTGTAGTTTTTAAAATCCTAAAATAGCTAATCTGTTTATCTTGCTCCTTATGGGCACGTGTATGTTGTATTTATCTTGGAACAATAGAATATTCTAAGTGGAAAAAAAAAGGAAGGTAGAAAATTGCTTAGGGTAGCAAGTTTCGGTACAGCAACTGTTTAGTCTGATTTCCTGAAGATCGAACGTCACTTGCGCAAGGGTTTGTTTTATCAGATTTGTACAGATGAAAAAAATTAAAGGAAATAAAAGAAATGAATATGAGATACTAGTAGGGGTAGTGTAGTGCAAGTTCATTCAAGTTTACATAAACACACCCCCACCCCCACTCTCTCCCCCGGAAATTACTCAGTTTTGAAACAGGAAGTAAAATATTACCTTCAATTCTTAATCGCCTTGGATCGATGGGATTACATCACCTCTTCTCTATCTATTGTAAACTCGCTTACCTTCGGTAACTACAAAATTAGACCCTATGTAGTGTTTAAGGTAACATTTACTTGTCAGCCTAGCATTAACAATAGCAGTTGCGAAATTTCAAGTCAAATGACTCGAAGAATTATAAGTTAAAGTACAATTTTTAAGCCGCGGTTTATTCAAAGTCCACACAGTATTTTCTTAAATACAAAAACATAAGAAACAAAGGCTCCATTAAGTGCCATCGAACCTGTCAAGGCAAATACTGACTGACAAGACTCATGAACAATCCTCCGAAGGGGACGCTTCTTTTGCGGTTGATGCAACCTCACGAACAAAGTTTTCCTCGGCAAAGCTTACTTGACGCTGGAGTCTAATCCCGAAATGTTTAGTAGCATGTGCAGCCTTCATTTTTCTAGTTTCGGCTCTTTCCTTAGGCATACACCTGCAGGTATTTTTAACAGAAATATATCATGTTTTGGGCTTTAGATTTTTGCGAATTTCACTTGCAGATAGTTCTCGATCCAAATAACCAGATTTTAGTGAAGAATCTGGCAAATCAAACGCTGCAAAAATTAACCACCTTCAATAATGAAAGCAAAGTCGTATGCAAGTCAAGTGTCAATTCGTGTTTTTCAGATTCGGACCCGCTCGAAATATCGATGCATTCATGATATGAAAGTATTGGGTTTCTTTCCATGTTTATTTTCGATTATTTTCTGCTACTTAATCAGTATTGCTTGATCAGCATTTTCTGCTATCTCGAACTTTAAAAAGTTGGCTTTCTTCGCACAGAGCAATAAGTGTCACCAACAGAATATGAACCGTAATTCATATTTTCTTGCTACCCTATTAAGCCTAAAAAAAACGGCCGCATAATTTCCATGCTGTCCAGTATATGCGAGCAATTCTCCTGGCCCGTCTCTTGTTGGATTCAAAACGCAAGAAGTTAGTAAAATTACTTCATTTTCTTGTGGTCGTAGTATAGTAAGACTTCGTTTCTACACGGTGTTTGCAATCAGGTAAAATTTACAATTATTCATAAGGATAAAACAAACTGTACTACTGACTACACCAGCCGGTGTAGCTAAGAAAAGCTAACAACTTGTAGCAGCAGTTAAACCTACAAGGATCCCGTATATGAACCAATAGAACCAATATTATAGGAAAGTCCATCACTTAACGAGGGCCGATTCACGCGGTTTTCAAGTGTAATTTCATGCGGAATTCGCGAGTCAAATAATGGATTTTCCTTGAATCACATAACTGAACAAAAATAAGAAAAAGAAAAAGAAAACAGCATTACTTATAATTGTTAAGTATACGTGGCTGCGAAACCGTCAATATCACTTAGCCTCGTTTTGAACTCTCAATTCCACGCTAAATACCTCGCTTCGTTAACCAATCAGAATGTGAGATTTTATTCAATGATTCGATACTATATAAGAACTAGACGGTCTCAGTTTGGAAGATATGTTTCTCAATCTTATCGTAGATAGTTTGTTTGATCTGTTCCATAGCACAGCCTCTATATCAGTAATTAAAACTTCGTTTACAGTAATACTTAATGCTTGGCTTTGGTAAAGATCGCTTATATTCAACATTTTATAGATTGCAAGAAGGGTTTTATTAACGCTGGAGAACCGTACGCTTAAATTAATATTTTGTAACCTGCGGCTAATGACTTTGTGCACAATAATTGCCGCACGTTCCCCATCAAATATCGCGTGACGAGTTGACTCACGAACTATTAAAAACACCTCTTGTAACTTGTTATTACTTCAAGACTCCTCTCTTTCACTAGCTACGGATTTTGTATGATAATTAAACGTCGAAGCGGTATCTTTCATCCTCTGTGCTTGTGTTCCCTGTAAAGAGCACAAAAAGTCATTCATATGTGTGAGGAATGGCATTGATAACCATAAGCAGACAATTAATTTTGAGCACACATTACCAGCGAAACACATGTAGACACAGGGGCCTGCAGGTCAGCAAACCTCATACATATTGCCTATTCCAGGCTTGCTATTCTTCGTTGTTTGTTTTTTAATCGTCTTTTTTGCTTTGTTTTTTGTTTTTTTCTTTTCTCATTTTTTTTTTCCAGAAATTATCAGCCTAGCCTTTTCTGGGCTCGTTATGAGGTTCTTATTAATTGTTAAAGCTACTACTAATTATTTCTTTATTCAACATTATAAAAATTCAAATTAGATGTTACATAATAAAGTAAAAACAAATTTGGTAGATTTTAAATTCTATCACTCATATAGCTAAATTGTGCTTAAAATTAATTTGTTAAAAAAGCTATCTTTAGGACATTTTTACTGAATTTACTTTTGACCTTGAGCTGAATCTGTTTTTGGCAAATACATATAGATGAACTCCTTGTTTGCCCCGTTTCAATGTATTAAAAGAAACTCTTTCCGCACTTAAATAGTTGCAGGAATGTTAATTTGGAATAACAGTGTTTCCGGAAATGGTGCTTTACTTGTACCAGAGTATGAGGAGATTTATAGAGAAGACAATCCTTCCTGAAGATTGAAGTTTTATTGTGCAAAACAACGGTCTAGCGACTTTTTATTTTTCGCATTCACACTATGAATAAATATATTTTTTAAACGAGAACTGCATATGATTACAGTGACCGAACAAAGGACGTTGCATCTAGGGCAAAATGCATGTCACAACAAACAGGTTTTTTGAAAATTCTTTGTGAAGCTATGCTGCGATGCATGAAAAGAACCTTTTTTCACTGCTTTTTCATCTGTCATCAGTCCTCGTTCTTTTTGTTTCTCTTCTTTTTGGTTGTTTTTTAGTGTGTGCTTTATCTTCTTATCAGACTAATCTGTTGTGATTTCATAACTTTGAAGGCGATTTTCTACGTTGCAACACTCGCCTCAAAGTGCAGTATCTTTTCGCTCCATAAGCACGGGCTTATAATATTTGACGATTTTACTGCAACAAGGCAGCTAGGCTCATGTTTTTATTCCATCCTCCATTCAACCACATACTTGTAGGCTAGTCACCTTACTTCACTATTCATTACACAACAGATAGCTAGTAGCGTAACCAATCAGATTACAACATTTGTGACATAACTCTGATCGATTTATACTGAATTGAGGAAGTAAGTTCACAAAGGGCTGTTTTGCTGTGTCCATAGGAAGAGGGGGGGCCGGGTTGATGGGGGTTGAGGGGGAGGGGGTATAACAATGTAAATTGGCCATCGTAAATAATTCCTAAAGCTAACGTTTCAAGCGTTTAGCCCATCGTCAGAGCGAATGAATTGAATAGATTCTGCCCAGGCCTAAAAGCGCAGCTCCTTATTTTTTTTTTTTCATACTTCTACATATATGAATGGTTCCTTAGAAAATGAAGTATCATGTGCTGAGTCCTCAGCGTCCCGTTGCATGCATCGATTCGGGTTCCAGGCCGTCGCGCGCCGCGAACTGCACCAGTATTGTGAGTTTAAGTCGGAGAAGGAGTGAAGGAGAAATGGCGTATCATGTGCTAAGTCCTCTGCGTCCCGTTGCATGCGTCGATTCGGGAAAAGAAAACACCATGCACAGTAATTGCTATTTTTACATCTTCTGTTTCCGAAAAACAAGTCATCAACAAAAGGAAACTAAAAGTGTTGAATAAGTTATTTTTTTAAATGTAAAACGGGATGGTTGTCCATTAAATATTACTCGGAAATTGCGATCGAAAGTGGCTGAATTTTCTACTACACAAGTTTGCAAAGGCAGTTTCTCAAAGAAGGGCTAAATTTGCTATTGGAAGCCCAAAGACGCGCAAATTTCATGCGTTTACGAAACCTACACAGCGGAATAATCAATTTTTGGCAGTTGTTTACAAAATTTGAAGATCGCAAATATAGTAACAACATAAACAGATTTTTCTTGGGCCCCCAACCACTGGGAAAGAAAGGAAATTCCCAAATTATTTGCCTTCTTTTGGCATGAGGAATGCGTCTTTTTTATCTTGGACACTTGGGAGGCGGCATCCCCTTCCCTTCCCTCCCCTCTCCCCACTAAACAGACTTTTCCCTTGCAACATTACAATTTCTGGCCTGAAACTACAACAGACCAGACTTAAAGAACTACTGTGAGAGTACCAGATAGTAAAAACTGGTGGCTGAAAACGGAAATCGATAGGAAACGGCTCCAAATAAGAAACAAGTACTCTCTCCTCTCTTGTGGGTAATTTATTGCTCCGAAGGTTTAACATTGACCCGGTAGGAAGTCTCGGGAGAGTTCTCGAAACGATAACTGTTTCTCTAAAGAGGTAAGTACACCTTTAGCGCTGATTTTCACTACTTATCAGTTTGTATGTTTAACATTGTACCTCGGGTGTTATATAAAGTGTTGAAGTCTTGTGTTAAGTGATTATATGGGAAAAAACTACATATATTTTTGGAAATTTTTGTGGGAGAAATTTACATGTTGAAATCAAGTACTTATTGATCGCTCGAAATTATGACACCCTTTAAATTTTAATGTTATTTGTATACATAGAACTCCGTATGAACCATCTTTCGGTGTCTCTAAACATCACAGCGGAAACTTTCATTTGCATTCACGCATTGATACGAGAACTTATTCACGGGTTAACTGTAAAAGCACAGTATTTCATCCATTAACAGCGCAAACGGGACAAATTTGGTTTTATAGTTCCAATCTAAAATCCCATATTGTGCATATTTGCTGTCGTAAAACTCACAACTCTACCTCTTTTAAGGCGAGGATAAAATGTCCCTCCTCGAACTTTTTCATCTGGGTTCTTACGTGTTAAAGAAACAAGCGACTAGGTAATTAATTTCATACGCATAAAATAAATAAAATTATCAATATTGTTATTTGGGAGGAGTTTGGAAGGGAGCTAGGTAGTGGTCACATTAAGCGGTAATCAGAGTTGCATGAAAGTTGAGCGTTCAGTAGAGAAGGAGAAAAAAAAGGAGGCAACTTGCAAATAATAATTTCTTTTATTTACTTGTCATCCATTTTGTTTGCCAGTATTGTTTTGCCATTAGTCCCAATATAGTTGTCAAAATGACTTCTTTACCAATTAATCAAAAACTTTTCATTTTGATATTTCAATTGGGTAATTTACCCAACTACATCGAATTTACCAGTGGAAATCGTTAATTTATGGAAATAAATATATGATTTAAAACAATCAATACTATGTATTTCTACTCATGACAATCATTTATTTTCAAATTTTGATTCATCACGATTTCTTGATTCCATGTTGAGTAAGATCAATGGCACATGTTTTTTTTTTCACAGCTTTACAACCTTGAATTTTCATCTTTGTTGCATAAATTCTTCCCTTCTTTGATCCACATAATCACTTATTTACTTATTTCACTGAAACAGTTTGTACCTAGTGTTGACTTTGAGAATATAGGGTTCCAAGCTGCAACCGTTTTGTTGCCATGGTAATAAGAAAGAATAAGACTAAGTTAGACTCTCTGATACACACCTTGTTACACATTCAGTTTTTAAAGGTTTGGTTCAAGACCTGTTCAGTTAGTTGTTGGACGAACTTTGAATAGTTGTAAATTTTTCTCTTAGACCACAAGATAAGCGCCCAAATTCAATGTATAAACATGAATATCAGGTTAAGTCGTTGCACTTGTTTAATCTAAGAAGAAACTTACTAATTTTTAAAGTGGTGGAATTTGAGGAATGAATGTTGCAATGGAGGAATCTAAGATTGGCTCAGACGAATCAAATGACACCCTGGTTGTGTTGGAATTCTCACCAAAGGCTCCAGCAGAGACCAAAGATTGGCTGACTGCACTTATCAAAGCTCCAGGTTTGTTATGTTTGACCATTGCTTATTATGTTCAGTTGACTGAGTAGGCTCTCCTTTGAAAGATAACAAGTGTTTGTAACAGCAGTTGGTTTTTATTGGGGCCTGAGGGGTCTGGGTTCATGAAAGCTAGGGGGTAGCCTTGCAATGTTCCGGCATCCCATTGAGGGGGGGGGAGATGTAATACTCTTAGACGCTTCATACCAAGAAACTGGGATAAGCTCCAGCTGGATTGGCCTTGTAGCTCAAGTATAGACTGTGAATGTATGGTAACCCTTAAACTCCCAGAGGTGATTAACATGTAACTTCTCTTTATAATATCCATACATAATCCAGCAAACAGGTCATGAGAATACTCAAACTTATCAGGTAGAAGTTGTTATCTTGATCTAATATCAAATTCTCTGTAATAACTTACATGGAAATGTCTAGCAGCCAGAGGGGAGAATTAACAATCAGGTCTTGGTAGTTAAAGGGCTAACACAACCTTACTTGTCTACCTTGTGATATTGGTTAATGAAATAAGTATGTAATCACTGTGATTATGTTTTAGGGAAATTAATTCAAATATTTGAATTTTACAATTCCTTCTCGCTTGTAGTCAGCAGTGGAGGAGCAGGACTTAAGGCAAAACTGGTTCCAAACTCATTGAAGGGCAGTGACACCCTGCACATTTCTGCAGACACCAAGCGCCTCCTTGTGGGAGCTGAGAAACTCAAAATTAAGCGATGTCTCAAAAATGGAGCACCAGTGGATTTCTGTGTAGAGTTGTGCCATGAGTTCAAAGACTTTAACAATGATGGTGAAGGGTTTTTGACCAAAAGTGAGAGTGAACAAATTGTGTTTTTGGCACTAGAACGTATAAAGCCCCATGAAGATGGAACTGTTCCTGGTTATCCTGAGGTTAAACTTCAAAAACACAGGGCAACCAGTAAGTGCATGTATGCAGTGAGAATGTTTGTGTGTAACTGTGTTACCTACCAGGGAATTAAGGTAGAAATGGTGTTAATGTTTACTTGTTGATTTATTCAATATGTATTTTACTGTTAGTAATAGTTACACAATAGAACCCAAATGTGTGAAAATGTTGGTCAATAAATGTGTCAGAACATAGCTAATTGGCATGCCCTGTTCATTATTCATGATTGATATGAACATGACAACACTTATAAAAATGTAATACACTTATCTAAACTTCCCAAACTAAACATTCTTATGAAAAAGCTCTTACAAAACAAACTAAATGAATAAAAATGACTGTAGATTGTGCAAGAATGGTAAACACACAATTTCTCATCAATGATAGTCAGGGTAATCCAGTTTCAAAACCAATTTTGATAATTCAAGCCCCACTAATTCAAACCAATTTTCCTTTCCTTGGGAGTTTGACTCAGTTGGTTTTACTGTAGTTTTGTTATGATTAGTGTTTATTTTGTCTTTTCAGTTCCAAAGTGTTTATCTACTGGAATTTTAGCCCAAATATTTCCTCTGCATGATAAAGAAAAACTCAAGGCTTTGGAGCACAAGTGGATATTTAGCCTTTCTAGGATGCAACCTCTAGGTAATATAACTTTCACTCAATTTTTTAACTGTTTGACTCCCAAGAGTGACTCGCATCTAATTTCTCCTTACAATATCACTCCTGAATCAAACATTAAGGTCATGAGAATAAAGAAAATGATCACCAAGCAGCTCTTTATTATTGAGCAAATTCTCATTGTCTGTACCTTTGGAAATGTACAGAGAACAATATGAAGAATATGCATATTGATGTTAGGGTGTGGAGGATAAAGCAACATATCCAAATCAAACACAATCTTAAGCAGCCATGCCAATACAATACAAGTAAAATAAAACAGATATAGGGTCACTCCTGCACTGTAGCCTTGGAGAACTCTCAATGAATACTGAAGGTATAGTCTGAGGAATTTTCATAAAAAATAAAGACTTAAAGACAGTTAACCCTTCATCTCCCAGGAGTGAACAAGGCAGAAATTCTTTTTACAAAATCAAAATAATATGAAGCAGAAAATTGATGAGAACAAGGCATGAATTAGGTGATTATTAGTTGATCCACCACCAGATTCTTCAAATCAACAGATAAGAATTGTGAAAGACAACAATCAAGACCCAAAGGTGGAAGAAAGTAATCAAAAAGTTAGATGAAGGGGCCTCTTAACCCTATAACCACTGTGGGTTACCGAGGCAGAAATGCTCGTTACAATGTCAATACAATCTCAAGCAGAGATGTGATGAGAATAAAGAAAAATATCAACTAGGGGATTATTAGTTGATCCAATACCAAATTCTCTGAACTTATATAAGAATTAATTTGGATATATCAACAAAGTTGAAATGGTAAATTGGCCATCGTAACGATTACCAAAGCTGACGTTTCNCGCAGATTGCCATATGTTGCTTAGAATGATTAGGTAAATTAAAATGTCTAGCGACTGGTTTCGATGTGTCCTTGTCATTCTTTTCCACGTCTCGAAGGTGTTCTCGGAATCGGTCACCTAGTCTTCTGCCTGTTTCGCCGATGTATATCTTTTTGCAATAAGTGCAAGTTATGCAATAGATTACATTGGCGGAGGTAATATAAGAATTGTCTGGCATACAGTAAGGAGAATTGCCAATGAGATCTTGGGAGTGGAAGGGTTAAGTTTGACCACAAAACTTACACCCCTTTCTTGTAACACATATTACCTACTATAGTTCAATTTTCTCACTGATTTTCATCAGATACTCACTTTGCTCTTGGATAATTTTTTTTTCTGTCTTTTAGATGACATAAGAGAGTACTTTGGAGACACAATAGCATTGTATTTTGGTTTCTTGGGCTTTTATTCATTGTCCCTTGTTCCTCCGGTTCTACTCATTCTTGTCTTTGGACTGTCTGGTGCCCATGAGCAGACAAAGAATACAGTTTTTGCCATTCTTAACCTCTTATGGGGCACAGTGTTCCTAGAAGTGTGGAAACGCCGGTGTTCAGAGGTTACATTTACATGGGGCACACTCAAAACAGGCATAGGTGAGTCACTCCCAACAGCAAACTTGTAAAAAAACTTTTTTTTTAGTTGATGTTACACTGCAACTAATATACATGAAAAAATCACATGGTTTTGATTGGCTGAAAATGTGTGTTTTTTTTAATGTAACATGAGTGCAGAGTTGTAACACAAGCAATGCTAATTATAACTAGAGTCCATGTGCTCTGCCTGTCAAAATTTCATCTCTTGCCTTTGTGTGATGCTTTTTTCATGTAAATTATGAAGAAGTATTAACATGACTTCTCATGCAATTTGTGTTTATAAGCACTAATAAAATTTTCAAAGACTACAAATTACACTTGCCCTATGGGCTTATGCAATTTGTAATCCTTGAAAAATTTAGCAGTGTTTATTACCACCAAATTGCATGAGAAATCATGTTACTACCTATACATATTGTACATTCAAAATTCCAAAATATTTCTAGTTAGGGGCTGATTTTATCATCCTTACCTGAATCATTTGACAGGATGTTCTAATATGGAAGCTAGCTAAAAACAAAGGGGGGGAGGGGTGACTGAGGTTTCAGTTTTAGCTGTTAACTCATTCACTGCGAAAACTTAGAAACAGTTCCTCCAAATAACGTGCACACCTGAAAATTCTACCTAAGGGGAAGAGCAAGGGGATTTCACCTAACCACATGGCCATATATAGGGCTCTCTTTGAAAATCCTCACTAGAATAGCATTTCCAAATCACGAATAACTTTGTGACGCAGAGTTTTACTGGCTGTCTGCCAATGTCTATTAGACCTCTTACCGCGGTCTGTTTGGATCACGTGTAGGCTCTTGTGTTTGGATTTGGCCTTAAAGACCCTTTCTGGGTACAGCCGCCTATTTCACCGCTAAAAGTTTTTAAAACGTCTGATTTTGAATGCCATCTGTTATACCCTTAGGAATAGAGGAAGTCGAAGAGCCACGCCCAACGTATTGGGGTGAGAAGCGTGTAAGCCCTATAACAGGACAACAGGAATACTATTACCCCCCATGGCAGAGAAAGGTCAAGACATACTGTGTCTCTTATCCAATTGTACTTCTGTGCATGAAGCTCGCTACAGTGGTCGTGCTGTTGTACTTGCGCTTCTTACACGCTATTCACAGCGAGTATGCAAATGTTGGAGGAATTGTTGCAACTGTTATGCTGTTATTGCCGAGTGTTTTATATGCTGTGATGATTGCCGTGTTGAATAACCTGTACCTCAAACTGGCAACGTTGTTAAATGAATGGGGTGAGTACGATTGTGTTGTTTTGGCTTTTTTTTTAATTCTACACAGGATGGATGGATGTGGCCTTCATCCCTTTCAATCCCAGGGGTGATTAACATGTAACTTCTCCCTTTAGTATCCACACATTATCCAGCAAACAAGTAATGAGAATTCTCAAAGAAATCAGGTAGAAGTTGTTTTCTTGTTCTAATATAAATTCTTGTAATTAATTTACAAGCGAGTGTGTAGTAGTTACAGGGGGGAATTAGCAATGAGATCTTGGGAATTTTAGGGTTAAACAATGAATTTTATGCTTGCCAATACTTTTGGATACTAAAGCGTAATATAGTTTTCTTGAGAATGCCATCGTTTTCTTAGAGTACTCGATGATATCCAAGGATGTCTAAAAGTTCCTGAAGATTTTCCGAATATGATCCAAGACTCTCCCCGATATGCCGAAGGTAACAAGAGCACGAGGATAGCGCGAAGAATGAGCGCGAGGAAAGCGCGAGGAGCGAGAAAGGCACACTGATTACTCGCGTGTCGCACGTTCAACCGCTCGACTGGAAAACGCAGAAGAGGGCCGCCTATACCGCCGGCAGGCTGTCAGAGTTTTTGATCTACAGGCATACGAATCAGGCCCGAGGCGTGAGAGTTGGTCAGTACAAAATTTATCAGAAGATTTTCGCAGTAGATTGACAGCTCTATATTTGGCCTGTATTTCGCACTCTTCCTATCTGTAGATTCCTTTCCCAAGTCCCAACCAATATTTTTGCCTCATTCGATATTTCGCCTTTTTGTGTAGTCTATTTGCTTCAGTGGATAACACAAATATCAACCTTAATCATTCTTGTTGTCGTGCAAAAAGCGAATCGAATTCTTGATATTTATCCGAGATCTCCTTGGATACCTGCCAATGATAACTTTTTCACTTGTTAGTGAATTCCCTTTATTTGCAGAGAATCATCGCCTGGAATCAGCTTATCAAAACCACCTCATTGTCAAACTGGTTCTGGTAAGTATCTTAATTTCAGTTAACTACGCTAAGTTCCTAATGGGGTTTATGCCTTGATTTTTGTAGAAATTCTAGAAGCTTGTAGCCCCGAAATCTTTTTCCCCCCTTGCCTTAAAAATTTTTCATAGCTTCGCATTTTCCTGTTTGTAAATCTGGCGAAGCCTCTATGGCCACTGGCCCACTTAATAGCCGCTAACCATGGCATAGATATGCAGGCGTTTAGTGTTAACTTGTAAAACTCCCTGAAGAAGTAAACGACAGTTATACGAAACGTGTGGGAGAATAAAACAAGTTTTACAACAAGTGTTCGCAGAGTGCTGCTCACTTGTTTAGTTTTAAAAAAATCATCGTTCGTCCGAAATTTTCATGAATTATTTTGTTGTTAAGTTTGCTCTATTGCTTCAGATAACCAAACTTTTTTTTTCTCTTCTCTGTATCCAGTTCTACTTTGTGAACTGTTTCTACTCGCTCTTCTATATCGCGTTCTACCTGCAAGATATCGAATTGTTGCGAAGGGTAAGTGTTCATGACTTGTTCAGTCAGCCCGTGACACTTTTATGCCAAATGTGCAACTGTTCTTGTGATCTGTTCTTGCGGTAAGTCGGAAAACCTTGAAAGGGAAAAAGAGCTACAGCAAATGTAGGCTTAGATGAAGAATGGCGTTTTTATGATTGTCTGATTTCCCATTTCTAGCGTCCTGATTAGTCGTTCGTTCGCTTCGTTTTTTTTTCTTTCAAAGTTATCATGAAATTGGAGGAAACCATATCGAGAGCCGTCGGACGTTCAAGAAAATACTAAAGAGATGTTGATGAACAAAGAAGAAACAGGGGACGATAAGAGTGGAGAAAAATTTAACTTAATGCAAACGATAATCTTTTCAACTTACACAAACCATTAGGTTTGATATTTAACTTGTGTTAAGTTAACCCTTTAACCAGCAAGAGTGACTAGCATCTAATTTCTCCTTACAAAATCACCCCTGAATCAAACAGTAAGGTCATGAGAATAAAGAAAATGATCATCAACTAAAGAAGCTCTTGATATGTACACAAATTCTCTTTGTCAGCGCCTAAGGAAATTTACAGAGAACAGTATGGAGAATATGCATACTGATGTTAGGGTGTTTACGGTTAAAGGAACCGGTACACGAGCTTATCGACTTTCTCTTTTGCCTTGTAGCATCTGGGTGCTCTGATGATCACATCACAGTTGATTGGACAAGTGACAGAGTCCCTCATTCCTTTTATCATGTACAAAAGTCGTGTCACCAAAGTCTCCAAAGAAGGAAAAAAGATTGTGATGAAGACCGCTGACTTGTCAAATGAAGTCGAAAAGCAGGCAACACAGGAACAGTATTTGGTAAGAATTACTTTGCGGTGTCTTTGGGTAAGAAGGGTGAGGCCCCTTACCTTTAGAGTTCCTATTCATCTAGATAGAAAGAGTAAGTTAAGGTGCTGAACTCGAACCATGTGACTCACCCAGCCACGTCCATTTGTGATACGACCCTTACGCATACTGCTAGAATCAGCGTTGTTGGAAGTGTCGTGTGTGTAAATAGAAAAAGAAAGATGGTAAATTTTGATCTTAGTCTTCGATTGAACTGGGATGTTTTTCTGTATTTCTTTAAGCTGTAATTTGAATGTGTGCATAAAATCAAAACGGAGGTTTACTTTAGTTTACTTTTTTTTTTTCAGGGTACTTTTGATGATTACTTGGAGCTGTTCCTTCAGTTTGGTTACACGTTTCTGTTTTCGTCCGCTTATCCTATGGCTGCCTTCTGGGCTCTGCTCAATAACGTGATAGAAATGCGAACCGACGCCTTCAAGCTTTGCCGTATCTTTCAAAGACCTTTTGCAAAACAAGCCAACTCCATTGGCGCATGGCAGGTAAGGACACGTGTTGGTGCCCTGTGGTGAACTTTCATCTCTGCAGTACTTTTGAGTTTTTCAGTTGTGGTCATTTTTGGCTCTTGTTCCCATGAAAGGCGAAATTTGGCCGAACACCATCTAGCAGACTAATGAGAATACCTTTTCCAGGATTAACGGAGTTAGGTTTCTGCATCAAAGACAGGAACCAGAGTCTGGTAACTTGAGATGAACGTCAGTCATTTACCTCACTTTGTTTTATTACTCGAGATGCAATGCTGTTACCATGACTGTCCAGCTCTATTACGGGAAATATCTAGATTTTGCCACCATTTTGACCTTGTTCTTAGGCTCTCTCGGAGCAAAAAGAAGAGAGACCCTGGGAGCGAGCCTGCCAATATTTTACATCGAATCGGAGAACTCCAATTCTGTTGAAAATTTTTCAGTTATCCTTAAAAAGAAGTCCGTTCCAGAAGAGAGAAAGAACTAAATTTCCTTAAACTACGTCTCTCTTCTATCCTTTTCCTTTTTAAATGATGCATTTTTCCTCAAAGAGAGCGACACCTTTACCTTTGCGGTCGCCTGGCATTTTCTGTGATTCAAGAGAAGTCCCTCTTTTAAGGTTAACACAGTCGTTAAGTTCGTCGAGAGGGTCAACTTTTCAGTCCAGAGTTTCTCCTCCGATCGATATGAAGTCATTTCGATTACTCTAGTTTACCAAAGTCAGCACGACTGAGCGAAAATGTAACCCGGTCATTTCTTACATATTTTTTGATTGGTTGCTTGTGTGTTTTTTTTTTTTTTTTTTTTTTTTAAGGCGGCATTCGAGACACTTGGTGTCGTAGCTGTCATAACGAACTGTGCCTTGATTGGCATGGCAGCCAAGAGTGCTCATTGGCTCCCGGACATGTCACCAGTTAATGCTGTTCTGATGTTTGTAGCTATTGAGGTGTGAATAACGTTAACTGATTATTTTTTGTTTCATGTTCCTGAGGTGGTATACTGTGTTATGCTGTTATAATTGAAGGTCTCAAGGGTCAACAAATTTTCTATCTAACGTTTGAATAAATCTCGAGCCCACATCCTACCGTCTAACTGGCCATGGAAGGTCTGGGAACGAGAACACGTTTGAATAAATCTCGAGCCCACATTCTACCGTCTTACTGGCCAGGGAAGGTCTGGGAACGAGAACGCGTTTGAATTATCTTATTGCTACTGAAATGATGAAGACTGGCCGGTTATTAAGCGTAGCTCCAAATATGATGGTCATTTCAGGAGTACCGCGGTAATTGTTTCCTTACAGTCTTATCTGTAAATTGTTCTGCTGAATTTGTTGTTCTAACTGCCGCCTGGTTAGCTCTAGAGCGCCGGACTGCTGTGCGGGAGGTCGAGGGTTCAATCCCCGGACCGTACCAACACTCAAGGTCTTAAAATAACTGAGGGGATTGTGCTACCTCTTTTATGACATGTGCAAATGGTTAGACGTTCTAGTCTTCTAAGATAAAGACGATAAATCGTAGGGCCCGTCTCCTGCAACTTCTCTGTAGTAGTAAAGAGGGGACGTTAAAGAACCCACACACTTCTCGCAAAGAGTTGGGAACTTAGCTCCTAGTGTCGTGGTCTGGCCTTGTTTGTAAAACTTGTAGGCTCTTACAAAATTTCCTTTCAAAATTATAAACTGCCCAATGCAGTCTGGCCAAATTCCCCCGCAAAATGTTGTATTGCGCATTAGAGCATTTTAGTATGAATAGTGCGCTATGTAAATGCCTCATCATCATCGTCATTTCATCAGCTCAGACTACATTCACTGTTCTTTTTTTTATAGCACTTTCTCCTGGGAGTAAAGTACATCGTATCACACGTTATCCCGGATGTACCGCAATGGGTACAGGACGAAATGGCCCGGCAGCAGTACAAAGCTCAACTCGCGCTCAGGGTAAGTTCTTTGAAATTGTTTATTCAGAGAACTTCACTTTTCCAAAGTTGATGTTGTTTATTCGTTGTATTTTCCTCGCTATAGTCTCAGGGCGATGACTTAGAAGGCCACAAGAGTGTATGGAAGGAGACGATGCTATAACTTCAGCAAGTTACACTGAGGACATTTTCTAAGCAGTAAGCCGAGGATTTGTACAAGTGTTAAACCAGGAAGCTAGAACTTGACAACTGTGGGTTAATGAAAATGTTATAATGGCAAGTAATCCGAAAGAAGTGTCTTTCTTAAAAGCTATCAGGGAAGCCATAACTCAGTTCTCTATTGCATAATTGTCAGTTGTTGTTGTTGTTTTTTTTTTATCAATACCACAACTGATAAGATCCCTATCTTGTCATGGAATACCTTGTGAAAGTGTAGTGTGATCGTCCGGGTGAGTGTAGTCCTGAGAAGGACTGTTGTCGGTGGTAGTGACTGACGTTTCGACAACCTGTGCGGAAGTCATCATCAGAGTCAAGTGAATAGTTGTTGTCAGTAGAATGTTCTTATTTCAGTTCGTGTAAAATGATTGGTCAGTTTTGCCGTGATGTTATTGGCTGTAAGACTCAAGTGGCGTAAG